CAATCATAAGTGATCCAGCAGTTATTGAACTCAGTGAGTACATGTACATGTAGATTTGCTTATTAACTAACTCAAATAATTGATTATAATAATATTGTGTTACTGTATAGGATATACTAGTAATAATGATTGGTCTACTAGTATAATACCTCTGGACCAGTATCAAGAGAAACTACAAGAAAGGAGAAGAGAATGGGAAGCATCTCAACCTGTTCAACCTGAGGATAGAAGAGAATCTTACTGAACGTTGTCTGCTACAGCAATATACAGCATCCAGCAATATCTGTAAAATAATTATTTAAAAAATTTTTCATTGAGTATTAAAATTTTATTTCTGACAATGTTAATTAATGCCACACATTTATTATCTGACGTCATAGAAGGGCGTTATCTCCAATTAAAATGGCAGCCAAAGCACCAGGTCAGTATTTTGTTTATACTTGATTATGACTCGTGTGTTGTTACTATTAGTGTATCATTCAGTTACTGTTACCTCTTGTTATCTATAGACTATCAACCAGTGGGGAAGTATGGACACTCCACTGTACGGGTAGGAAACTACCTGTACATGTGGGGTGGGGACCAGCCTGGTCTCCCTGCAGTACATTAGTCTCGCGTAGCCAGACTCCTGGCTACGCGAGACTAGCAGTACATAATAATGAAGAGAAGAAATCAATGTGTTCTGTGATGGAGGTGTGTCACCTAAGGACTGATAGGTGGGAGCAGAAACCTACCACTGGTAACCCTCCACTGGGTGTTGTTAGCTATGCAGCTGCTGCCATTGGAAGGGAAATATTTTATTTCGGAGGCCATTGTAATCATGATAAGTGTAATCATAATAGTTTATACAGGTAAACATAATAGTTACTGATAAATATTATATAATATTTTATACAGTTTTAATGTTGATACCTTCAATTGGAAGGAACTCTCTCCTACTACATCTCATCATGGTCCTAGGATGAAGCACCTCTGTGACATGATAGCAATAAAAGTGAACAGTGAGGACTATCTTGTAGTAATTGGAGGATATGGATCAACATCTAATAATACACCCAAACAACCTGGTGCCCAATACAATGGTGAAAGATTAGTTTCTGGTTATCAACGATGTAATGAGATCCATTTCTATAAACTCTCAACAGGTCAGAGCACATACAGTTTATATTAATATAATGAAGTATTGTTATTTGGTGGTTCTCCACTCAGACTGGTTGCATTGAGAATTGCTTGCTTGTTTGTTCATGGTTGTCACTCCTAATTATTTGATAATATGATCAAAGAAATATCAACTAGTTTGCTCCACCCAATGCATTCCATTCACACTAATTATTATTATTGATATTTTTAGGACAATGGATATCACCGACTGTCACTGGAGACAGACCAC